CGGCGTGGATGGTTTGCCTTTAACTAAATCGAAGTGTGCATAAGCTGACTTGAACACTCTTAACCTTTGAAACAAAAAAAAAATTAAAAGAAAAATTAAAAAATAAAGATACATTCCTAATTTCCTCGTTGACGACTCTTCCAATCTGATTTGTAAATGGATCAAGACCAAACCTTCAAGACTGGTCTCCCCTATGGTATCCAAAATCCTGATTAGTCTTCAAGCTTCCAGATTGATTCAAAATAAGTCTAATCTCTGGCATCAACATTCATAACTTCTGATTAATTTTAATTTGTCCATTCAAACCATCCTTACCCTGTGTTGAATCATCTCGAACTTCAATTTTCCTTGTTTATTGTTTTCAATGAAGTTTTAAAGTTATGGTATCGGCCATCAACTCAGAGAATCTTGAGACATATCGGTTGTGGCATTACGTATGCGGTATCAAGAGATACAACCTAAAAGAAAAAAAATTCACATAACGGGAGATTTAAATCATATCACGACGTCGTAAACCACTAATTCAGTGATGAGAAGTCGACAACTCGAAATTGACGCGAATAACTCAGCCGACTCCTATGAAAGGTGTTAGCTAATACTTTGAACTTGTTTCGCTATAAAAGGTGTCCTTCCTAAATTCCTCGTATTAAAAGGAGCAGCCTAGTGAAAGAGACGCTAGTTTTACCTACTCTATACGTTAACAAAGGCTATTTTGGTATCTCAAATGCGATGGCACCCAACTCCCAATAAAACAATTTAGCTGCTTTCTCCAACTAAAAATCTATTTTTATTAATCTTAAATAATAAATTCGAGAGCAATATTATTTAGATATAAAATATTAACATAATTTATTAATTTTATTAATTACTGTCAATGATTTAATTATGAATTCCATTCATTAAAATTCACCATTAATTTAATAATTATGATTAATTAAATTTAATTATGAATTTCATTCATTAAAATTCACCATTAATTTAATAATTATGATTAATTAAATTAGCATTTTTCAGTACAAAGGGCTCTCGGATAAATCCCATGGTTTATAGCATTCATTCTTCATGTAAATACTGCTAAAAGAAGTTTGGCAAAAAACACCCACAGCCCATGGTCCAAAATGTTGGGAGACGACAACAAATTTGACTTGATAGCTAGTGTCTATAAACCGCTAAAGATTTGATTATTGTACCCAAAAAAAAAAATTGTACCGTACCTCACATTTTTATGATTTTAACAAGTGTTTTTATAATTTTTATAAATTATTTTATAACAAAAAAATTGATCACTATTATGTGTGTTTTTATCATTATTATGAATGTTTTTGCCACATCTATAATAATTATTTTTACCACGTTTTTCGGTATAAAAAAATTATCACTATTGTTGATGTTTTTATCACATTTGTGAATATTTTTTTATTACTATTGTAGTAATTATTTTTACCATTTTTTTGAAATTCACGACACTGGTTAAAACACCTACAAATATAATAAAAACAATCATAAATATGGTAAATAGAGGTATCATACTCAAAAAAAAATAAAATTGTACCATAGTCAACTCCAACAGTTAATAGGTACTTCTTAATGGACGATACGATTCTGAATATTTCTCCAATCAAGACAGAAATGTTGAATTATTTTGCAACAAGGTTGAGAACATTATCCTTAATTGATTCATTGATTAAACAACAGACTAGATTTACACCGGTTGATATAAATCGGTCATAAAGGTGTAAACCCGCGTGCCCTGAGTTCGAGACCTTTTCAACAACTTTTGAGGTTCTTTCTAGTACGTTCTTAAACATAGATTCACAATAATTTACTGACTTTATTTACTCTTAAAGATAACTGTTAGATTTTCTAAAAACATCTTAATATAAATATAAATATAATTTATAGGCTTAATTTTAAAAATTAATGCATTGAAATTAGCAGTCATGGATAAACAAATTAGAGAGCTTAAAAAGTCATTATTATTAATTATTCCGACTTACTAAATGCTTGTTAAAACTCTGTAAGATTTGAAGTTGAGTCATCTATGACACATTTTTTTAATGATATATCATCCATTATGAATTCAAACGTTTTATAAATATTGGGTTATGTGTCCACTATGATATAGTGATTTTGCCGTAACAATGACTTACTCTCGCAAATAAACCATTTTAGACCACAAAACAGATAATTAATAAGATTTAATTAAGATCTTTTGACTTTGACAATTTGCCAACCTTTAGAGCAATTCACCTTCCACACCGATCACATTTTTCTTGTTTTCATTTTTTTATTTTTTCTTAAGAACATTAGGGGAATTATTATATTTTAATGAACGGTAAGCTCCGACCAGGACTTACCTTCATGTTCTCTATGAAAATTGTTATTTTGACCTAATTTGTCGATCTTATTTATCAAATCTAATATACCACAGTCATTAAATTAGTAGTGAAATCTAGCCAATAGTGGGAGTTTTCAATCCAATATCAGAGAATAATTAAGTTAATAAAATATAATTTAAATTAATAAAGTAATTAAATTAAAATAACATTATTAACATGAGAAACATCTCACAAAAGTACGATGGCAATGTTCTTTCAAAGACCCATTGGAGTAAAGTGGAGATAGATCTCCACAAGACTATCTCTCAATGTATTTAAACAAAAATCTAAGTGGTTCTTGAATCTATTCTTTTATTTAAGTAGCTCCAAATAAAAGAGTTTCTCGAACCATTCTTTTTGACAACAAATTGTTCTAAGGGTTAACTCCACATTAACCTTTCATATCTGAAAAATAACATCCCGCGTGTCTCGTCTATGAACATTATAGAAAGGATAGGAATATAACTCTAATCATTCTTTTCGAAATGCTCCAATACAATGGATCGAGAGGGTGCAACTAGGTCGTTAGAGGAAATTCAACACGATAGACTCTAAACCTCTTTCAAAAAAAAAAGAAGATATCAAACCCAAACCCAAAACCGTCATTCCTAAAGATTCCTCTCCTCTTTCTCCTTCTTTAACTCTTTTATGACTTGAAATCACCAGCACATGGACAGAATCAGAATTTTTTTTTAAGAGAGCCAAAACATTAGCATGCATAAGAAATTTATTTCATGGGGTTATTCAACAAGTTGTTGCCAACGACAAATTATTAGTTAGAACATATCAAAATTAACTACTATACAATATTATGGTAAAATTTAATTTAGGTCTTAAACTCTAAAAATCGTTGTGGTAATGTCACCATCCGCTTGTATTCGTATTTAAAATATAACAATACTAAANCAATATTATGGTAAAATTTAATTTAGGTCTTAAACTCTAAAAATCGTTGTGGTAATGTCACCATCCGCTTGTATTCGTATTTAAAATATAACAATACTAAATATATATTATATCTCCAAAAATATTAATTTCACACGATATCATAATGAAAATAAATTATTAGCCGATGCATTGCTTTTGACATAAGCCACTTTATAACACGACTTTGTAACAATTTCTTAAAATATGTCAAGTAATTAATTTCTTGAAATAATACTTTCTGAAAATTTAGGGGCAAGCACTAGAATTTTTTAAAGAGTAATGTTATTTGAATTTAAAAATTTGATGTCATTTGTTGATCTGATTCACTATGACTTTTAAATTGATTGTGAGTTTCATCAAATATTAGAACTTGCTCTTCGTCTAATAATTTTAATGAAATTACATCATTAGATAAATAAATGAGATTAAATTTTTAAGTATAAATACTACTATTCTTTTCGAAAACCCTAAAGAGGGTAATAGGGATTTTTCAAAATATGAGTGGGGTCATGGTCATGGCCCACCTAGGCCTACACATGGTTCCATCACTCGGACCAAACCGGCCACATTGACAGTTGTCAGTTGTGAAGATTTTGATAGCGAATGCTCGTGAAAATCCTTATGTTCATATCAACTGCAAACTAAACTTTTTTGATTTTTCACCCTTGGGAGATTGATAAATTTAAGGAAAATTTGATCTTTGATTTTGACCAAGAGCACCAAGAATTAAAGTAACTTTTTAACCATGAATAAGGTGGCCGGAACATAGTTCAACTTCCTTTGGTCATCACAATGAATTTTTCCATTCTTCACTGTAGAATAACACCAAGTCATCCTTGGTTTTCTTTATTTTATTCTCAATTTCAGTAAAAAAAAATTGAAGTCAATGTGATGTTTGTTAGTCATAGTCATACATTTCAGAGGTAATTTTTGATGAATCGGACAAGGATTTGAGTCATAAAAATAATTTTTATATATAATTGAGATAAGATTTTGTACATCTNTTGAAGTCAATGTGATGTTTGTTAGTCATAGTCATACATTTCAGAGGTAATTTTTGATGAATCGGACAGGGATTTGAGTCATAAAAATAATTTTTATATATAATTGAGATAAGATTTTGTACATCTAACATGAGTTTCGGGGCGGTTTTTTTTTTTTTTTTTTTTTTT